TATTTTTAATATATATTATTTTTAATATATATTATAGATTTTTATTAATTTCCCTTGAAATTATATTTAGGTTTATGTTTTGTTTTTTATTTGTAATTTCAATGTTAGTGTTGGTGATTTAATTTTAGCTTATTATGTATTGTATATTTTTATTATAATTCAAGAAATGTTATACATGTAAATATTATTTTTAATTTTTACAATGTTTATAGAGAAAAAATTATTTTTTTAGAAATTTTTTGGACGTGTAATTAATGAATTTTTTTTTCTATCATGATGCTTTATTTCAGACTGTAAGTGGTCTGAATATTTTTTTGGTAGAAATAGTGCCCCAACAGTAAAATTTTTTTTGTAGAATTTGTGACACTTTTTAGACCAGTTATGGGCTGAAAATGGTTTCAACATAATGACACATAGGGACCGAAATTTTTCATTCTTGTAAATAAGGCCATATTTTTTGGACCAAATATGGCCTGAAAATAGTTTCAACAAAGTGACACAAGATACCAAACTTTTTTATCTATCTAAATAAGGCCACAAATTTTCGGACCAAAGTTGGTCTAAAATTTATTTCAACATAGTGACACATGGATACCAGACTTTTTCACTCTTCTAAATAAGTCCATTGTTTTTTCAGACCATTGTCGGTCTGAACAAGTTTTCAAACTATATCTAAATTAAGATCATATCTTTTCGGTTTCGCAGATAAAGCTACTATTTTTCAGACCATTGTCGGTTTGAATTGTTTTGTATATTCAGACCTCTTTCGGTCTGGTTGAAGGTATAAGGGGTCAAAAATTTCAACTATTATTCAGATTAACTTCGGTGTGAAAATAATTTATATTCAGACTGATATTCTGTCAGTTTGAATATAAAGTTATTCAGACTGAGTTTGTCCAAACCAACTAGCTGGATTGGTTACGATTTGAATATAAATATTCAGACTGATTTCCCCTATTTTCAAACCAATTTTTCGGTCTGAATTATATGTGTTTCCAGTAGTGTTTGACCAATATGATGAGAAAATTAAAGTGCAGCCTACCATTGGCCACGTTGGTCTTGGACTTGCTTTATTCATCCCCCTCCAACGCAAACGTTGATCTTATGTACTACTATTTATTTTTTTTTTCATTTATTTTTTTATTTTTTTAGATTTTGTTTCTGAACTAGTTTTTAAGTATTTTAAAACTAATAATTGCTTTCAAGTGAACTTAAGGATACACTTTGACATCAAACTACTGTATCAAAAAAATTAACCTTGTCAATTGATACTTCTGAGACTTAAATCTTGAATATAATCAATAAAAACAACATTTTCTGCTCTTTTATTATTTATAATTGGAAACTGATGAGTTTTTAAGCAGTGGAAGCGTAAATATGAGTGTTTCATAGTCTAAATAAATACATTGCCAATCTATAAACCAGATATTAGCAGACAGTTTATGCATGATCAGCCACATAGGTACACTTTCATGCTCAGGAACGGAACTTGGTTATGATCCAGGGGGGGCGTTTTTTTTTTTTTCTATGCAAATATAATATAAACTATAAATTAGAAAGTCCAATTATGAGCTTTTTTTAAAAAAATCTTCATCTCTCTTTCCATAATTTAATTAAAATTCTCAATAATTGAATTTACAGTAAAATTTTTTACAATTCGATGTAAACAATAAAATTAATATTAACCTATCAAATATCAAGGATTTGATTTATAGTCAATATATTTCACAAACAAGATTTATCATATATCCTCACTTTACCAACACTCACAAACCTTAAACTATAATTGATGATTCCCATCACCATATAAGTGCTAAATGACACAGAACACCAAATGCCACACCTTGTAAACTAGGAAGCATATTCCTATAAGGAATTTTTTATTTTATGTCCAAGGGTGTATGGGTATATTTATTTGTATTTTTTTATTATTAATTTATAAAAAATAAATAAATTTTAATTTTAATTTTATCAAGTGCCCTAAAAGTGTATGGGTATATTTGTTACATTGATATTGAAAATAAAGTTTATTTTCATAATTTTTATTCAAATTAAAACTAAAAAAATATAGTAAATTTATTTTTAACCTGTGCACTAAGAAAAACCCTTACTATAAGCCATTTAATTTTCCTGCATGTTAAACTAGATTGCAGTAAACATTTTGAAATGAGCAAGCCTCGTTTAGCTGTTGCAACAAAGATTTTCCAAAACTAAAATAAAATTTTGATTAACCCATACTAATTATGATAACGCTCACAACACAACAGAAAATTGAAGAATAATGAAAATTCTTTT